GTTTCTTTCAGCGGTTTGACGTGCCGCCTCAGGCGCAAGGGAGACCTTGAGGGCATGGTGCAAAGTGCAAAGCGCATCATCGTCGTCATCGTCGTCGTCATCGGTTTCCGCATCCCCATCCTCATCCTCATCCCCATCATTTCCTTCCTCCTCCTCCTCCTCCTCGTCCTCCTTCTTCTCCTGCTTCTACTCCTCCTTCTCCTCCTCCTTATCCTCCTCCTCCTCCTCCTCCTCCTCCTCCTCCTCCTCCTCCTCCTCCTCCTCCTCCTCCTCCTCCTCCTCCTCCTCCTCCTCCTCCTCCTCCTCCTCCTCCTCCTCCTCCTCCTCCTCCTCCTCCCTCCTCTTATCCTTATTCCTTATTAGAATATACTCCTACTCCCCCCTCAGGCCGGCAGATAGGGGGCCCATCCGGGTGGTCCCATCCTAACCTGTAAAAAACAATACAAAATCAACATTTTTCTTATTTTTTCCTCTCGACATGGACGTCCTGTCGTCCACGGCGATAATCCATTGCAAAAAATACCACAAAGAGCACACGCGCGCGTTCATGTCAGAATCCTACCGAACACCGTGTGTTTGCAAGCATTTCAACATAAAAACATCAAAAACCCAATGCTTTTTCACAAAAAAACTACACATTTTCCTGCCCGGGCTCTCTTGCTGAAATCATAGGAAAACCATAGGAATCTTAAGAATTCGGTCAAATCCAGCGATTTCACGTCATCGCGCGGTGCACTCGCGATGCTCTGTCATGCACCCAGGCCGCGAATCCTGTGCAAAAAATACCACGCGGGCGACATGCGCGCGCGTCGCCGCGAGCGCATGCTCAAATCCTTCTAGAGTCGTCGCCGTCATTGGCACCGTCGCATGGACGTCCTGTCGTCCACGTCGCAAAATGCATGGCAGGAATGGGACCCGGCTTACCGGGCCGTTCTCGACACGGCCACCTCTGGCTTCCTGCGGTGTACCGGGCCATTCTCGACTCGTCTGGCAATGCGTGCGCGGCATTCAACACGCGCTCGCCAGTTCCCGTCGGCAACCGCCATCGCGGCCGCATCAGCTGTACCAAACCGGCTGGCCGGTGTGACTTCGGCCCCCAGTTGTGCCAGCTTTGCTTCTTATGTTGTGGGAGGGCGGGTGGGACTGGGCATGCCATGCTTGACTCGCTCGAGCTGGCTAGCTTGACTCCTACTCCTACTCCTACCTACTCCTACTCCTACTACTCCTACTCCTACTCCTACTCCTCCTCCTCCTCCTCCTCCTCCTCCTCCTTCTCCTCCTCCTCCTCCTCCTCCTCCTCCTCCTCCTCCTCCTCCTCCTCCTCCTCCTCATCCTCCTCGTCCTCAGCACCTTCATCCCTCTCCTTCCTCCTCTTACGCCGCCGACGACGACGAGTTTTTCCCTCATCCCCCCCTCCGCTCCCAGAGGCAGCCCCCGCCGTGCCGGGCCCGGGTTCGTACGACCTGCCCCCGACGCTGGACGACCACGGTGTCATCATCCGGTCGAGCAGGCGGCCGTCGTCGCCGCTGCCGACGTCGCAGCTCGCGCGGCGACCACATTAGATTTCCGACGCTATCCCCCAAACGGCACTTGCACTCAGGAGTTCTCATGTCTCAATCAAGGAACTGGTTGGGTATTCTGGATTTTCGCTACGTTGCCGCCGGTGTCGCCTCGTGGGCGCCTCGTGGGCATCACGCGCTCGAGAGGGGTGTGCCGAGGTTGCGCCGCGCCGACGCCCGTGCTGCCTCGTGCGCCCCGTGCGCCAGGGGTGTGTGCCGAGGTGGCGCTGCGCTCCCGCCCGTGACCCCTCGCGGGCGCCTCCTGGGCCTCCCTCCTCCCTCCCTCCCTCCTCCGTGCGCTTTGGGGGTGTGCCGAGGCTGCGCCACGCTGCCTCCCGTGCCGCCGCGAGGGCGCCTCGTCGGCGCCTCGTGCGCCGGGTGGGTTGCCCGAGGTTGCGCCACGTCTGCCGCCTCGCGGACGCCCCGTGCTCTGAGCCTGCACGGCACAGCTTTCAACACAGAGCTTACACCACAGAGTGCACACCTCATACATGGCACAGCATTGCTCTCAACACATCGGCTGCACGCCCAGTTCACACCGCCTAACTTACACGACATATCTTACACCACATAGCTTACGCCGCGTAAGTTTTACTTACGTAGCTCTCACGCCACATATAGTTCAAACCACATAGCTTACATGACATAGCTTTCACCACATCACTTACATCGCATAGCTGTCACATCCACCGTGCAACAGATGACTGTGAAAGGTCTACACGAGCTCACATGATGATTTGTTCAATGTGGGCGTGTTTCCTCGACTGTGGCCTCCGGGGCCCATTATCAGGCCCCTGGACAATCAAGCATCAATCTGAGGCGAGACACCGGCCCAGGGGAATGGGTCAGGACACGTGGGGCCACACGTTGAAAGAGCAGATCGTCGGAAGTTGGAGCCGCGCAGCAATAAAGAACAAGCACATCAAACATACGCCTCCAGCGAGCGCTTCTTGGACATCGCGACGGATTTTTCCGACGACGCGCTTCGCGTCCACGAGGACCTGGCGGAGCCGGTGAACCTTCGGCTTCCCACTCCGAGGACTTTGCTGCTGCGCGCCTCCCCACTTGGAGGAGGAGGAGGAGGAGCAGGAGGAGGAGGAGCAGGAGCAGGAGCAGGAGCAGGAGCAGGAGGAGGAGGAGAATTCGGGAGAATTCGGCGACGACGAAGTCGAGTTTCGCCCAAGAGACGAGCGCCGCCTCGGGACCCGAAGCGAAGGGGCCCTGGCGCGGCGGAACCAAAACTCGAGGCTTGAGGGGACGGGCACGGCCACTTCCCCCACCCCCTGGCCCCATCCATGGCGCGCCTGCCCTCCTGCTCCTGGGCCCTTGCCCTGTGCCTCCCTGGGCCTGGTCCCCCCCCTGCCCTCTCCCCTCTGGCCCTGCCGGCCCCGGCCCCGTGGTGTGCCTGCGTGGGCCATGGCCCGCCTGGGCGCCGGCTTGGCCCCCTGGCTCTGGCTCTTGTCGGGCCGAGCGAAAGGGGGGGATTGGGAAAGGGGGGGGTACGAAATTTGCTGCATGCAGCTGGTGTCGGCTTCACCGAGGGGCCCATTCCTCCATACATGGCCGCCTCCGGCGCCGGGAGGCGCCGGGGAAATCAGCTACGTGAGCTGATTCTCAAACCCCCCTTTGCTATCCCCCCCTTTCGCCCGACCCGATCCTGGTCCCTGGCGCGTCCTGGGCCTGCCCCCTGTGGCACCCCACCTGCCGAGCACCCACCGGCAGCGACCCGGCCCGAAGCGGGGCTGCCTGGGAGTCGCGCGGAAGTTGCGGGAGGAGGGGGGGGAGGAGGGAGGAGGAGGAGGAGGAGAGGAGGAGGAGGGAGGAAAGAGGAGTGGAAGGCCCTGGCTCTCTTCGCCACTCCCTCATGTGTTGGGTTCGGGTTTTGAATACAGCGCTTCTTGTTCCAACTGTTATTTTCCCGCTACTGCTGCTGCTGCTGCTGCTGCTGCTGCTGCTGCTCCTCCTCCTCCTCCTCCTCCTCCTCCTCCTCCTCCTCCTCCTCCTCCTTCTCAAAGAAATACACCCCCCAGGAGAAGGGAGCCCTCAGGACCGTTTGTACGGGTGCTTATTGGATTCGGACTTATGTTATTTCCAAAGGATACATGCATTCAGAACTCTGCCCTCTTGGATGTGGGCAACGTGACACTCTCTACCATCGTATCTGGAAATGCCCAGTAATGCAGGATACCAGGGAGAGTGCAGTGGACCAGAAGATCTTGGACAGTATCGACGGCTTCGTCGATCATAAGCATGTCCTGTTTACTATTATGGTGGCCCCCTGGTTCGTGGACCCTCCTCAGGACAGGACCGAAATCCAGGGATCATGTAGCCGCCACATTATTAAAGATTTAAGCCGTGCTGCGTGGACCATCAACGTTTTTCAAGACGGCCAGAGGCAGTGCGAGATTCGGGGGCCAGTGCACGCGCCGCTTCCGCAGACTCCGCAGTGCGCAGAGTTTTCGGTATTCACTGCGGCCGCCGTGTGCATAGTTGGCCCCTCATATGTTTTCTCTGACTGCCAGAATGTGATCACCCAGTACGCGGCTAGCCCTGCGGACAGAGTGAGCTTTCGCGAGGTGTATGCAGGCCACACGCTCCAGGCGCACAGCTGCGAAGGAGCTCGCCTCATCAAATATATTTTCTCAAGGTCAAAGCGCACCAGTCGTTAGCTGACGACAGCCTCACCGACCAAGAGCGTTTTGCGCGACTCGGCAACGACTTCGCCGACAGAGGAGCAAAAGCTGCTCTCGAGTTGCACGAAACGACGCCCTCGACAAAGTCGATGAGCAAGTCAAATTCGTCTTAGCCTTCTGCCGCCTGGCTATGAAGGTGCTGCCTCTGCTTCCTCCGCTCAAGGCCGACGGTGAAGTAGAGTATCGACCGATTGGCACAGCCAAGAGCGGCGTCGCAGCTCCAGAGGACTGCACCTATGTTTGGATTGCTGGTTTATGGCGCTGAAGTAAGTGCTGCCGTGCCACACGCAAAGCAGACTTCTCGGCTAAACGTATGAGTGCGCCAAGGCCGCAGCGGCGCAGGTGTGTCGGAGTCGTTTTGGACCTAGACCTCGACATCAGAGCTAAGAAGCGTCACAGCATTGTTTGTTTTCCTTGCTCAGACGGCTCCTCGCTCTTCATTTGCCTCCACTGCGCCGCTTTCGTCTCAATTGGTTCGCCGCTAAAGTCAAATTTATATCGGCAACGGTGCAAAGGAGCTCGAGATAGCCGCCAGCAATGGAAAAGGTAACCGCGTCTTGAGGGGTGTTCACCCGCAGAACGGCAAAGACTCAGTCAGTGTACAGATTGAAACCAGCGGAGATGATGAGACAGGTGAGCCCACTGGTCCAGCTCCGCCTCTTTAGCACAGCACGCAGCCACCATCAGATTCAGCTACTGCTTCCAGCCAGCCAGCCGCTGCAGTGCCGATTGGCACGATGGATATCTGTGGCACTGATATGGGCCCCGCTCGCAAAGACACAGAAGCCTATCGACTTGTTAATGCTCAGTTTGCGGATTTTGCTGCTGATAGTGAACTTGCGGATGTGTTATTTGTTTCGAACACTGTCGAGGCCACCGCACCTCCAACCTTGCGCACAGAACTGCAACCTGTCCGCGGTGCGTTTTAGGCCTAAGCTTGGCGCGCCCTCCGACGTGCGGCTGGCCGACACTGGCCTGGCTTCTTCCTTTCTCCCCCTCGGTCCTGCCCTCCTTCGTCTCACGCTGTAGCGCAGCTTCGCTGACGTGTACAGTGTAGGTGGAGGTTGTTAGTGTTTGCTGTTATGCGTGAACAAAAAAAGGAGCCTGTGCACGCCGTACTGCCGCCTTCTGTGAGCAGTGCAGCCCCACCTCCCGTCCCAGAGCCTCCAGCGTTGTCTGTGCGGGCTGAGCTTCGCCGGGTCACGGAAGCTCTGGGGCGTGAGGAAGATGAGGCTCCGCTCGAGCCCGAACCGTTGCTGACATCGAGTTCTGCCGTGGCCTGCCAACCTGGCGCCACCAGAACCGAGGGGCGAACAGCGCCCAGCCTAGTACCAGTGCTGCCGTCACCAGCCGCTGCGAGCAGCGACGCCGCTCCTCATGTTCCAGAGACTCCTGATTTGTCTGAGCGGGCTGAGCTTTGTCGGGGGAAGGAAGCTCTGGAACAAAAAGAAGATGAGGCCCCGCTCGTGCCCGAGCAGTCTCGGGCTTCGGTCCTTCAAGCTAAAGCGCAGCGCCTTTTAAGAGCTGCGGGAGGGGGGAGTGGGGGGCGGATTTCGGACGACTCAGTCTAGCGCCACGGGGGCTCGGCCCCGACGGTGGCTTTAGCGGGCGCCAGATCTGCCCCTCTGCCACTCTGGCGGTGCTTGCACTGCACTTCCGCGGCCCCGCTGGCGGCCGCCCGCCACGCGGGGCCACCCGCCCGCGGGTCTCTGGGGGCAGAACACCCTTCTGCCCACACCCGCGGCCTGTGGTGCCAGCAGCGTCTCGCCGCCTCTGCTGGACCCTCATTTCGCTTGGCCCGCCTTTTCCTGGCCAGGAAGCGGCTGGAGCCCTCTGGGAAAAAATATGTTTCTTCCTCCTCTTCCTCTGTGCCTCCCTCACAGTAACGAACTGCGGAACTGTCGTCACTTTCGTGGTCTCATGAGAGGTCCAGCTGAGTGGGTAGACACTCGGACCCCATTGAGACCTCGTGGCGCGGCGTGTAAATCGGTTGCCAGGAAGTCCAAAGCGACAACGCAATTCTTAGTTATGTGTTGAAGAAGTGCCGTAAGAGAACGCGACTCTAAGGTAACTTGCGAGGAGGTATCAGGCGGGAGCCGTTGTTGTTGTAAACTGTGGGGCCAACAACCCAGTTTGATGTTCAAGACCTTCCCTGATAACAACTGGGTGCGGAGGTGGTACTACGATGGAAAGAATATCCGAGCGAAGGACCCAATCATGTGCAGTTGTGAGTATCGCCGTTGTGGGTATCGCCTTCGGTGGATCTTCTGATGAGGCCACGAACCGTGATGCAGGGGCGCATGCGGGCACAGCCATTGGGGCCTTCGCTGGCGCTCCACATGAGGCCGCCATGGGGCCGCGAAACGTGTGAGGGGTGTGCCGAAATAGAGCGGAGCCGCCATGCAAGCGTCGCCACTGGGGCTTCGGTAGAGCTCCCCATTGGGACACGAAAAACGAGAGGGATATGCCAAAATGGCCGGGGGGAGCGCGTGCGAACGTCGCCATTGGGGCCTTCGGTGGAGCTCCCTGTGGGGCCACGGAACGCCTGAGGGGTGCGCCGAAATTGGCAGGCGGAGACGGATGTGATCACATCCACAGGGGCCTTCGGTGGAGCGCCCTCCAGGGCCACGAAACGCCGTACTGAGTGTCGCGGAACGCATTTGGTCACACCCACTGGGGCCGTTGGCTCCGTATGTGGCCACGAAACGCCGTGCTGTGTGGCGCGGGACGCATGTGGTCACAGCCCGTGGGGCCTTGGGTGGAGCTCCTTGTGGGGCCACGCAAAGGTGTGCAGGGTGGCGCGGACGCATGTGGTCACAGCCATTGGGGCCTTCGGTGGAGCTCCCTGTAGGCCCAGGATACGCCGTGCGCGGGACGCATATGGTCACAGCCACTGGGGCCTTCGGTGGAGCTAGCTCCCTATGGGGCCACGAAAGGCGGTATTGGGTGGCGCGGGATGCTTGTAATCACACCAATTGGGGCTTTCGGTGGAGCCCCCTATGTGGCCAAACAACGCTGTAATGGGTGGCGCGTGACGCATGTGATCACAGGCAGTAGGGCCTTCGGTGGAGCCCCCTATGGGGCCTCGAAGCGCTGTACTGGGTGGCGCGGGACGCATGTGGTTACACCCACTGGGGCCTTCGGTGGAGCTCCGTACGTGGCCACGAAACGCCGTGTTGGGTGGCGCGGAATGCATGTGATCACAGCCACTGTGGCCTTCGGTGGAGCTCCCTATGGAGCAAACGCCGTGCTGGGTGGCGCGGGGCGCATGTGGTCACAGCCATTGGGGCTTTCGGTGGAGCTCCCTATGGGGCCTCGAAGCGCCGAACTGGGTGGCGCGGGACGCATATGATTACAGCCATTGGGGCTTTCGGTGGAGCTCCCTATGGGGCGACGAAGCGCTGTGCTGGGTGCGGAGGACAGAGGCAGGGACGGGAGGAGGGGGAAGAGGGGGGAAGGAAGGAGAGACGCGGGGCACTGTCTCTCTCTCTCTCTCTCTCTCTCTCTCTCTCTCTTCAAAGCGAGGACCCAACACCACAGGATAGTTGGGACAAGAAACGCTGGTGAAGCACCATCGAGCTGCGGCAGTCCGAGTGCTGCAGCCGCCGCCGCCTCCCCCCCGCGCTATCCTGCGCACGCGGAGGGGAAGCGCCGAGCGGCGGTGTTCGTTCGAGTGCCTGGGCGGGGGCATCCCCCCGCCTCACCAGCGACTGCGGGTCGTGGGTAACAATCGTCTAGGCCTTCCATATGGGGTCCGAGTAGATGGGGTCGGAGGATCGATGCGGCTCAATTTGGGGCCTGGTTTTCTCCACGCCGACGTCGCCGATGCGTCGGCGATCGTGAGAAGGGGGGAGGCGGAGGAGGAAGAAGAGGAGGAGGAGGAGGACGAGGAGCTGATCATAAGGAGGAGGGTTGGAGGAGGAGAGAGAAGGGGAGCAGGGGAGCATTGAGGAGAAGTGAGAAGGAAGGAGGACGAGGACGAGGCGGAGGAGGAGGAGGAGGAGGAACAGCATGAGGAGGGGGAGGAGGAGGAGGAATTGTCAGGAGGAGGAGGAGGAGGAGGAGGAAAGCGCCCGACGACGACGGCCATGACGACGACGAAGACCGACGACGACGACGACGACGACGAGGAAGACCGACGACGACGACGAGGAAGACCGACGACGACGACGAGGAAGACCGACGACGACGACGACGACGACGACGACGACGACGACGACGACGACTGCTGCGACGGCGACGACTGCTGCGACGGCGACGGCGACCGCCACGGCGACGGCGACGGCGACCGCCGCGGCGACGGCGACGGCGACGGCGGCAGCAGAAACGGACACGGCGGCTGCGGCGGGCCGAGGACGCCGAGGACGCCGAGGCGGGCCCTGCAGCTGCAGGGCAAGGAGAACAGCTCGGCGGTGAACAGCTCCCTGGGCCCCCGGGGCGAGGCCGAGGAGCCCCCCGCAGCGGCTCTCGGCGGCCTTCGGAAGCCCCCGGCCCGGGCGGCCCTCGCAGTCCCTCGGGCCAGGCGCGGGAGTGAAGGAGGACCTGCCCTCGTCCAGCTCCAGCTCCTCCTCGTCCTCCATCCCGCACCGTTTCTCTGCTCGTCCTCGCCGTCCTCCTTCCTCCCTGATCGTCCTCATGCTGCTCCTCCTTCGCCGCCTCGGCCTCCTCGCCCTCGTGTTTCCTCGCCTCCTCCTCCTCCTCCTCAAGTTTCAAGGCTGGCCTTCAGCAGGAGAAGGACGGGGAAGAGGGAAGAGGAGGTGGAGGAGGAGATGGAGGAGAAGGAGGAGGAAGAGGAGGAGGAGGAAGAGGATGCAGGGAAGAGAAGGAGGAAGAGGATTAGAAGGAGCAGAAGGAGGAAGTGGAAGAGGAGGAGCAGTAGGGGGACGGGGAGAACAAGAGGGAGGAGAATGAGGAGGGAGCGATCGAGCGAAAATGGGAGAAGGGGTTTTGAACAGTTCTAAGCGGTCGGAGAGGGGGGCGAAGCTCTTCGCAGAGAGTCCCCAGGCGCAAGTCGAAGCCATATGTAATGCTAGAACGCTGAGCCCCAGGAGCCCAAGTCTTGAGCTGGAAGGCTCGAATCTGGATTTCTACGACCCTCTCGCTCTCCATCCTGCTCTTCCCCGGCCTCATCCTTCCACCCGTCCTCTCTCTCTTTCTCTTTCTCTCTCTCTCTCTCTCTCTATCTCTCTTTCTCTCTCTCTCTCGCTCTCTCTCTCTCTCTCTCTCTCTTCTTTCCCAAGTCCCATTCCCTCTCGTCCTGGCTCCCAGCGCCCCCCCGCCCCGTCCTCATCTACTGTCAACCCGCATAGTAAGGTTGGGTAACCTTCCCAAGGGAACCCTTGCAGCATTGCCCCTTTGGCCCTCCTTTATCGACCTTCGCTGGCCAGCCTCGTTCGAAAAACGTTCACATGGGCCCCCATGGCCCTTGCATTCTTACCGCGCGTCCTTATGATACGGGCTGGCCGTACAGTGGGCACGTCAAGTAAGAGACCTGCCGACAGTAGGTACCCCACGGAAGTGTCCCCAGGGGGCAACAGAAGTTTCGGGGCACCTCACGACCTTCAAAGATCGACGAAGAATTCTCACCACATGATTTGGCATACGTAGCAAGATGTCGTATCGTATGTGTCTACTGTGCCTCCTCCTCCTCCTCCTCCTCCTCCTCCGTAGCCATTTTGGCTCAAGATGCCTGGTTCCCTTGGGGCCAAAACGGATACCGCTAGTCCGCGGCTAGACCTCGAGTTTCTTCGCCTTGGCCAAGCGCTAGTGGGAGGAGGCCTGTGCGAAGCAGCTCCCACAGCCAGTGGCGGCACCACCCGCTGCTGCAGGTGCATCGTCGCTCACCTTGTCCACGCTCCTTGGCGAGGACAGCGAGGTCGAGGGGCTCACCATCGTCGACGGCCCAATGTTCAGCACGGAAGGCCTCGACCTCGACCCTGCGGACCTTCGCGAGTGGGAGCGAGTCAAGACCAACCTTGCGGCTGGCATCAAGGCCGAGATCTCCAAGGCGCTCGGCGCTTCAGCGGAGCAGCTCGCTGTTCTACGAGCGGAGGCCAAGCAGGTGCCCTTGCGGATGCAAGCGAAGCGCAGGCGTGGTGATAGCGCAGGTGATGGCGCTGGCGCTAGTGCTGCTGCTCAGCCTGGTGGGTCAGCCGCCTCTGGCTCTGAGGGCGACGGCGGCGGCGCTTCCTCAACCGGTGCAGCTGACGGGCCTGAAGAAGTTCGAGCTGCCGCCAGACGCACCGCCAAGGAGTCCTTTGACACTACCCGAGCAGCGCAGCAGGGACTTTAGCAAGTCTACCTATCCTGGCTTGCCGTCGACCTGGTACGGTGACATCTTCATGAGTGCTGCGGAGGAACTCGCCTTCGATCCGCAGTCGTACTAAGCCAATCTCTACAAGGTCACGCTGAACGATGGGTGCCCTACGACGCAGTATGGCGACATTTTCCCAACTGAGGTGGAGGAGTTTCACTTCCCCCCCGTCTCTCAGCCCTTGTCGGGCATTCTTCAGCTTAAAGATCAGGATCCCCAACGCCGAGCTGCGATTCACCATCGTGAGGTACTTGAGCGGAGTCTCCGCTCTTTCGCTGCCAGATGGATCCCTGATGTTAGCTCAGCGAACGAGGCTTCTGACGAGGCCCATTGGAAAGGGCATTGCATTCCCTTCATCTCGACGTGGTTGTCTCATCCTTTGCTAAGTCCGCTTGTTTCAGAAGCAGCTGCTGCAGCAGGCCATGGGGATCCTGCCATTGCAGCTCTTGATATGGCCAGGCGTATCTGCGAGCGCGCTTGGCGCGCTCGGCGCAGCCAGCGTGCTCGCTATTTGCAGATGCTGCGGAACTTGGAGTCCGAAGATTACGACTCGTGGCAGGAGGAGCTGCAGCGACAAGCGATGGCGTTCATGGAAGCTCCGGAGACCCTCGACACACGGGCGCCACAGCGGCGCGTGCAGGGCGGCTTCCAGGTGGTACTTCCCTTTTGCGGGCGTCCCCACCTTGCAGCGCCGCCCGACCGAGACAGCCAGGTCGCTTGCGCCCTTGCCCTCGGTCGGACGACTGGCCGCGCGAGCTCTTCGGCAAGTTCATGGCCTGCTTCATCTTTGAGCGAGGGGCGCATGGATTCAGCCCCTGGCCGTCACAGCCCCTCGCCCACAAGTACTACGGCTACTGGCAGTTCGGCTTCAGCTTCCGCGCCCCGTTCGGGTTCGGCCAGTTTTGCGAGGATTACCACCTGTGCTTCGAGCACCGCGAGTGGGTCTCAGGAGGTGTCAACCAGATGCCCTTCCAGCACGGGGGGGATTTCCATTTGGTGCTTCGATTGCTCCGCCCTCGACTCAGATGACATCGGCGCCAGAGGCGGTGGGTCTGGCGTCGGGCTGGGACGACGCAAACCACGACCCCTTCGAGGACCTGGATCACATGTTGGACGCGGAAGCGGCAGAGTCCACCGACGCCGTGCCCACAGGTACTGAGGGCGCCGAGGAGCTACAACCTGCTGCCCCTCAAGTCCTTGGCCGCCCTGCTGACCCCCTCCGCCCGTCTGCTTCAGAGCGAGGAGGGGAACGTCTCAGGAACGTGGCCGAAGCTGCTGAGGACTCTAAGTTATTGGAGGATGCGGCCCCAGTCCCACAGCTCCCAGTACTGCGTAAGCTTTCTGGGCGGCCTGATATGGCGGCTCCTCTCGCTGCAGATGATGGTTCATTTTCTTTTCTGCATGGTAATATCTCAGATTGGGGTCCACAGGCTCGTAAGTTTCTTAATACCACCTCGTTCGCCATGGTGTGCTTGGTGGAGATGCACTCGTTACAGTCCAGGTTTGCCGATGGCGTTGATCAGACCTTTGATGCCGACGGGTGGAACATGGTTTACACGGGCAGCAAGGCGACAGGCAAAGGAGGTTCTTCTGGCGGCGAGCTTATTGCTATCCGCAAGCACCTGGCCTCCACCAGCTTCCAAAGTATTCGCCAGGCTGCAGTCAGGCTTGGCAAGTCTGATCCGTTCCGAGGGTTTGCACCCATGGTCCTGCATCTCAGCAGCGGCAATGTCGTCATCGTGGCCATCTATCTCTGGCCTGGGTTCTCTACATCAGGCCACAACCAGTCTATGTTGATCATCTTGGGTGCTTTTCTGTCGGCGTTAGCCGACCCCTGGATTGTTGTTGGCGATTGGAATTTGGAACCTACTGCACTTCTGCGTTCAGGATGGCCCTCGAAGTTGCAGGGCGAGATTTTGCATCCTGACGTGACGGCCACCTGCGACAAGGCGGCTCAAGGTACACTGATCGACTATGGCCTGGTCAAGCAAGGTACTACAGGTCGCTTTCGCATGCGAGGTGTTGCGTCAGTTCCGTGGAAGGCGCACATTGCCTTGCAGGTTGACATCCTTGGGCCCAGACAGAGGTGGTGGCATCAGCGCCTCGTCACGACACCAGCTTCCCCGACAGTTAGCCGCCCCAGAAAAACAAGCTGACCCAAGCAGTAAGGCCTCGATTAAGAAACCGGAAGCGCTTATGCAACGTCGGGCGAAGTTCCCAGAAGATCTCCCAGTTGAATTTGACCTGCTTCACAAAGCGGCTACGGCCACGGCAGCAGAGGCTGACTCAGTCTCTTTCTATATTCCTGAAGAGGTTTGGCCCTCAGGCGCTATTGCTGTGCCACCGCTCGGGGAGATCAGCCGACGCACGCTGAAGCAGCACTTCCTTGGGGATATTTATGCATCGGGCTCGTCGCAGCTCACCAGCAGGTACAACACCTGGATCACCGAGATGGAGATGGCCTTCAGTGTTCACCATCAGCAGGAGGACTTCGAGCCTCTGCGTGGAGCAGGTCCCCAGCTCAAGTGGCAGTTGTCGCAGGCTGCCCCAGGCCGTGCTCATCTCTCTGACCCAGTGGGCGAGCAGTGGGGCATTGTGCACACGCTGGTTTTACGGACGGCGTCGTTGGCCAAGCATGGGCGTGACCCCAAGCAGCTGTCCGATTGCTTCCAGCAGCTCCAGCGGCATGTTGCTCATTTTCAATCATCAGACACTGCTGGGTATGTTGGCGCATCTGGCCAGGAGGAGCGTGATCGCTGGCTTTGTTGGTCGGCCGCCATACCCTCGGCCAATCATGATGAACTCGACGACTGGGCACATTTGACGGACAGACTTGCTCATCGTGCGCAGGCTCGCTCTCTCACAAAGGGCAAGCACCAGTTCACCAAGTGGGCCCTCGAGCAGTGGCGTCAACATCCTGGGCGTCTTCATGCGATGGCTCGTGACCCCCAGCCTGCGGTGCATGAGAGCCATCGTCATGGGCAGGTTATCTCGGAACCTTCGGAGTTCATGGGCGATGAGCGGAAGGAGTGGCGATCCTTGTGGGCTGACGCAGTTGGCGATGCTGAGGCCATCACCCATATGCTTCAGCAGTTGCATTGCGAGTCTCGGCGAGACCCCTTGCCTCCCTTGGAGTTGGCGTCTTTGGAGCGCGTGGTGGCCAAGCTTCCTGCGAAGGCCCCAGGGGTCGATACCCTTACCCCCCGTGATCTTCAAAGGGCCCCTCCCCAAGGTCGGGTGGAATTCTTGGAGTTGTTTGACCAAGTTGAGCAGGCAGGAGTCTGGCCAGCGCAGCTGCTTAGCACAATTTGCGCTCTCCTTCCCAAACCCAAGGGAGGGGAGAGGGTCATTGGGCTTTTGGCTGAATCCGCGAAGATCTGGAGCCGCCTGCGCCATGGTGCTACCTCAGAGTGGACTGAATGTCTGGAGGCGCACTGGGACACTGCTATTGCAGGCAGCAGCGCCTTAACGCGCCGCTCTCCTGAGGGCTCTCCTAGACGAGACGGCGACGGTGCTGGGCATCACGGTGGCCACGCTGCTGCTGGACTTCGAGAAGTTTTACGACTCGCTGTCCTGGGTCTTTTTGGGCTGCGCTGCGCAGCAGTTGGGTTGCCCGCCCATAGTGGCATGCCTGGAGGTGCAGCTATGTGCTGGTCCTCGCTTTCTTCGTGGCCAGAAGGGAGCGTCCAACGCCATCCTGCCGACTCGGTCGCTGGTGGCGGGTTCCCCTAATGGGGTGCGGTCAGCCAAGCTCTTCCTGCACCCGCTGCTGCAGCGTGCTCAGTCCAGAGCCGACGTTACGACCTTTTGGACATTCATCGGCGATACTGTGTTGCGTTCAGAGGGACCGCAGGATAAGGTAAAGACTCGCATGGTTGCGTCTGCTACTGAGTTCAAGCAGGGATTGGACACTATGCGGTTGGTGGTCTCCTCTAAGACGGCACTCATTTCTAATGTGATCAGCTTGGGCAAGAAGTTGGCCAAGAAGCCCCGTCGCAAGTCGATTCCAGTTCAGTATTGTTTGGAGGCGGTAGACCTTGGTGTTGACGCTACGGGGGGTGGGCGGAGGACGGTTCGCAAATCTTCCCAACGCGCTGCTGACGCTGCTCGCCGTGCTGCTCGTCTGCAGCGTTTTCGGCGTCATGCACGGCCCCGCAAGGTCTCTCAGGGCCTGTGGAAGACTGGAGCGCTGCCGCAGGCAGCATATGGACATCAAGTTCATGGCCTTGCACCCTACCAGCTCCTTCGCCTTCGACGTCAGGCGGCTACTGCAGGGACAGGCCCGTTGAAGGGCAGGTGCTTGACCAGTACATGCCATACTGTATGGTCAGAAAGATCCCGCCTTGGAGCTGAGACGCCAGCTTCTGGCCGAGTACGGTCTGGCGCCTTCACCCTGAATTTCATCAGAGAGTAGAAGCATCCTGGCCGAAAGCTCTTCGTCGTCTGGAGTTTGCTGGGCAGTCAGGGCGATGGCGATTGGTCAAGGGACCAGTGCCTGCAGTGATTGCCACGCTGCTTGATGCTGGCTGGAAGCCCTCCTCAGCCACTTCCTGGTGGCGCCCAGAGCATGGCGGATTTGCTGATTGGAAGATCCCCACATCATCTCTGGATGGATTGTCTGGCGATGAGATGGACGTGGGCGGAGTGCTTGAAGATGTTATGCTTGATTTTCACGCTCAGCTTTGGTCTCGAGCTTCTGAGCACGAGGGAGCTGAAGATCTCGCTGGAGGTGCTGATCTCTATTGGGCTCGCCGAGAGTTTGTGAATTTCTCGCGGAATGGGGATTGCGACCAAGTTGGCCAGACACTTTGCGTGGCTGCTGGAGCGCAGCGGCCGCGAGTGCGCCAGTTCCCGACGGGCACGGAGGAGCAGCAGCTGTGCCCCAGGTGTCTGAAGGCGCCTGAGACTCTGAGGCACCGCGTCTGGGAGTGCGAGTGTAATAAGGATCATGAGGATTATTCCTTGTCCGCCCCCCTAGTGTCTCAAGCACTCGTTAATTGTGATATGAATCCTGCCTTGCGGCTTAGAGGTGTTCCCCCGACCGACCATACTCACCCTGAGTTCGTGGACCCACCCGAAGCGGAGGGTTTGAAACCTCTCGGCCCGACGTCCTTGACCGATCTGTCCTCTGTTGGCCCTGACCCCCTGGTCGTTTTGGGGGACGGTTCGGGAGGGCGTTTTTCCTCCGACCCTCGGCGCCGCCGTTGTGGCGCGGCTGTTGTTTCGGTCATGAGAATTCCAGGGACGTCGACGTGGGAAG